CCTCGCCGGGGGCCTCGGCGGGACCACCCGCACGCGAAGGGCTGCCTGACACGCTGTACACCGATGTATAAATCGGCTTAGAGACATTTTGGGGAATTTAATTAGATGCTTGTTGTTTACGACCGAATGATTTGTTGTCGGTCGTGAAAGCCAAACAGAAGACGATGTGGTTTGAATAATGACGCTTAAATCCATTTGCACCATTTGCTTGGTTGACGAGGGTGACACGGAGGGTCCGGTTAGCCTAGCCTAGCTTAGCTTAGCTTAGCACACAGCTTCAAAGAAAACTCCACTTGGTAGCTTTGAAGCTCGCTGATTAAATACATACGATCTTTTTAGTTCAATCAGTATTTTCCTGTTTTTCATGCAGCTTTGGAATTTTTAATGTTCCGAAACGACAGCCGACTTAAGATAGTCGACATTTTCTCATCAAACGGCGTTTCCTTGTTTTTCTTCCCAGAGAAGATATACATGTACGTCACGCTCGGTTACACAGAGAAAACTTACAGTTTGAACAATTTAATTTCATATCGCCAGATGTCTCCTTTAACTCTCCAATTAAGAGTTTGAAAACTTTCGTGAGATCCACCACTCCTGTCAATTAAAAGTGCCAAAGTGCGAGGTGAGGCTGGCACATTCTGCATGGCTATTTGTCAAATCAGCAACTAATAGGAACCCCAGTTTGATCCATCTGCCACCGGTCTGAGGCTGTAACTGCTAATTACTAGCGCCTACGCGGGGATATCGATTCCTCGTCCTCACATCGCAAACATGTTGAATGGCACGGAGAAACCAGTGGCGACAGGCCGCCACGTTGGCGCGGCATCACGCCGGAGGGGGGTGACTCCGCCACGAAACCACTTAGGAGCGTAACACATCAGGACAGGCGGCCAGTGGTTACCGAGGAGGGAAGGCGCACACTCCGCGAGGCCGCGAGTACGGCGTCAGCAGACGTGATTAAATCTGTGCTATGAAAAAAAGCAGATGTATAGAGTGCGTGTTTAGCAGATCGATAACGATGGACGTAGAAGACAAAGGAGACCAAAGGAGAAAATAGAGCACTTAGGCGAGCAATTACTCTGTCAGGGAAACCTCAAAGGGGCATAAAAAAAAGAAAAGAAATGCCGTTAAAATAAATGTAAGAACGGCTTCGAGCGCTATTACTTAGGATTATCACTATTGATTTTGTCTGTATCTGTGCGCGCGGCTAATATCTCCCATCGATTTCCCGCTTTTGATGGACGCCGCTCACACGCGGCGTCTCTTAACGCCCGGTTCAGGATTCCGTTTGCCACGTCCGGAACCGCTTCCTCCGGATTGTTAGGCGCATCGACCCGCCGCAGAAAGAAAGCATGAGTTTCGGATCGCTCGGCGGAAACGTGTCTCAACTCAGCGTAATGCAGTTGAGAAAAAAAAAAAAAAAAAAACAACCGGGACCCCGAGTCAGCGTGGCCGTCGGCCAGGACGAGCTAATTTCTCTGGCGCCGCTTCAGATGCTTTGCACTTACTGACTGACAAAAACGCAGGGAGGGGGAAAGAAAGAGGAAGCAGCGCTCACTGTGCAACGGTACTTCATTACGCCGGGTGTCCGCCGCTGTGGACCGGAGCACTTACAGCAACCACGGGCCTCCATCACCCAACGGTGACAGCTAATGCTAACTAGCACGAATTAAAAGGCTTCCTGTCTCTTCCACTCGGATTTACGGTTGCTGTTGTTTACTGTGCCGCTGCTCGCTGGACCCACGGGACTTGCAGACTCAATCTTTCTGCAGCCCTCTGTGCTTCTTGCTCTGTTGGAGCAGAAACGACGGAGTCTTGGTGGTTATCTGAGGGGCTCTCGCGCTCCCGATGGTCCGGTGTTCAATTTCATTACACTCACCGACGCACTTAGACATTAATAGTAGGAAATCAGGAATTCAGGCAGCAGCGCTTCTTTGCTCTCTTAAACTCCCGGCGCCATTGATTCCATTGCCCAATATACAACATATACTCTGCATTATTGATTGCTGAATACATACATCATAATCGAGCCGTTACATCGTAGATCATTTCTACAGATTGGACGAGTGCCTCCTCCCATTTGGGGAGGACAGAGATCCCCGGGGCTCTTGTTTCCTCTGCTTGGGACCCGGTAGCCCGCCGCCACTCCTCTTCTCCAGATTGCGTCTCTCGAGAGGTTTAGCGGTACCTTCTCGGTCACTGTTTCTGAATTCGTCCCCCCTGGAGCCACGTCGGCACATTTTCCCTCCGTAAAGGCACTTGAAGGGAGAATGATGGAGGACGTGTCAATGTGCTCCCTCTTCCCTTGTCACGATGATGCATGCAGTGGCAGCCGCAAATCTGGTGCATGAGGAGCAGGGTCGAGACGCTCAGTCAATTAGTTCACATCGACAAAATAATGTTTTGCACCTAAATCAATGCAGCGGATTTAAGAAACATCTCAGGCTACGCTGACGTACTTTCGAATGTTTCTAGTAAAACAAATATTTAGTTTTGGATTGTTGACTGAATAAGATGTTGAGCAATTAACCAGAGAATGGAAACCTGGCCCTCCGGTATCAGGTCCAGACTCATTCGCCTGCCGTCCTCCGTGCGTATGGGTTCATCCACTCTGCCGCACACGGTCACATCCGAGATGCAGAGGCACGTGTCAGCTCGTTCCATAGAAAGCTCCACCACTCTCCTCCCTTTGCTCGGGCCGCCGCCATGGAAGCAATCAGGCCGATGCAGCAACAACTGGGAACCAGCTCTGCTTCCACGCCTTAATATCACAGTGTCACTTCTCTGGACCTCGCCGTCCCTCGCCCGGCGCAACTTAAACCGCCTCAGCAGTCTGGCTTTTAATTGAATCCGACAGCACCTGAAAAGAGCTGAAAATCAGCAGATAGCCGGAGTCTCTCTGCAAACAGCAGCACCTTCGGGCCGGGCAATCATAACACCCACAGATGAACCACGGCTTAATTTGGTAGAGATTGTACCTGTTACAGTATTTGTCCAAAGGACAATTTACCGTTGATTCTTCGGCCAGAGTGACGGAGCGAAAAGCTCCAACAAGCAAGAAGACGATTGGAAATAATGAAGCGAACGTGACGACGGACGCGGAAGTCGTTCATTCACACCACTGAATACGGCTAAGAGCATTTCAACAGTTATACGTAGAAGTATAACGGTCCTCAAAATAAAGCCGAATGATGGTTCATTTAAAATCAAAAGGTGTTTATTCTATAACGAAACCGGGACCAGGATCTCAGGGATTGTCTGGCTGCGCAAACCACATCATGCGGCGCGTTATAAACCAATGTCTTTATTATACACTGCCTCTAAATGCCCAATTAGGCTTCAAATGATGACTTTAATATTCAAAATATGTAAATGATTTCTAATAGAGTATAATCTAGACAAATAAAACAATTTATTCCGTTGCATCATTTCACAATAGAATGATTGGGAAGTTAAAAGATACATAAAGTACTCGCATCGTTACAGAATAAATGACATATTTAGTGTGTAAATACATTCATAAGTTAGGCCAATACAATGCATCAAATGTTAGTGAACTCAACTCTACTATTGAATTATTCGTTGTTGAGATGTGCTTGCATTAAAAATGTCTCGAATAAGAATACAGAAAAAGTTTAAATGAATATGTTAAATTATTTTTTTCTGACCTCCGTGGCATTTACTGTATTGTCCTTCAAGGCAAATTCCAGCCATCTGGTACCCCGGGCGAGCGCAGGCAAATGTTAAAATGTACTATATTTGCAACCATCATCCGGCTCGGCTCCTGTGCAACACATCATCTCACCCCGTTCTCCTCACATGATGATGGAAAAAAGCTCCATATTTCACATCTGATGCTCAAAGTACTGACAGACAAACAGCATCTCTATTATAACATCACACACACACACACACACCGTACACCATACACCACGGCAGCGGCAGATGTATAGTAGCATAATTATACAAAGAAATTGCAGTTATTTATATTTCAAAGGCACCAGTTCAACCCCCCCCCCCCTCACACACTCCCCCCGCCGCCTCCTGCTGTTATTTCTGCTGCTGTTGTTGTTCCTGCTGTTTGTGTTGCTGCTGCTGGAGCCGCAGCTCCGTCGCTGTTAGTTTCCGCTCTCAGCGTGCTCATCCACCTTTTCACTCCCCATGTGTGACCGATCTCGTAGCCAGCTGTTAATTTACAGGGAAAAATGAAGAAGAAAAAAAAAAAGCGAGCAACAATGGAAAAATAAGGGCGTTGCCTCAAGGGTGGGGTCATTTATTTATTTATTTTATTTCCCCTCATTGTTCGACTTAAAAAGCAGCTCCAGAGCCCGTTGAGGAGCTTTAATGTGGCCAAGTCCACGACATGAACTTAAAACAAATATTAAGTTCCACCACTGATGTCAAATGAGGGCATCTGTCTGCTGATGCATTACTGGCCTCTAGTGGCGATTGGTGGCGTCGGCGTAATAAATATACCCCTGAAACAGAGGCTCTCGGGCAATACGGTGATCTGTAAGTTATTCCTGTGACACTCGACAGGGCCGGTGTTTGTAAAGTCACTTCGCCATCGACTCGGCTCGGCGTTGCACTAATGAGAGTAATCACCCCGGCAGAATTCCTCTCGTTTCCATCAGATAATTACACATTAGCGTCACGCGAGACGGCGGGAGGAGAGACAAATTCAGTGATTGGGAATCCAGTCAGAACAAGCATCAGACTCACAGCAGCTTCTCGAGCGATCCGTGGGGCTTTGAATTGGGAGAAAATGAAGCGCCAATGAGAACGCAGACGAGCGCCGTTTACTTGCGATGTCTTTCAGAAGCGGGAAGCAAAAGGATGTTTGAGCAGAAAGAGCTGGTGGGCCGGAAACGGATCAAGACGACAGCGGCTTCCCAATTCACTGATTGTCATGAGAAGAGAGTGGAATGTAACCTGGACGCCACTTGAAATGAAATGATTTTCTTTAGTTTAAAAATGTGCAGCCAGTGAAACAGCCAGTATGCAAATGCCAACAAAAAAAGAATCTTTATTCAGGACATACAGCGTTAAACTTGACTTGTTCCTCTCGTACTCAGTTTATTTTTCCTCATTTCTTCTGCACTGGAGCGTCGTCCCTCACAACTGGGAAGAGCTCAATCTCCTTGATGATCCTCCGAGCAATAACGTCGTTGTTCGCTGACATCATCCTCCGAGACATCAGATCGAAGGGCCCCCCTGGGTGGTCAAACAGAGCTGTTACTATTTTGCTGCATAATACCCTTGATAGTTTTCGGGGGGGGGGTCTCTTTTCCAGAGCCTGAACGCACCGTCCACATCCAGGATGAGTCCTCCGGCTTCCTGGACGATAACCGCTCCGGCGGCAATGTCCCAGCAGTGGATCCCGATCTCGAAGAAGGCCTCCACCGCCCCCGACGCCACCAGGCACATGTTGGTGGCAGCTGTGCCCGACCCCCGCAGCCTGTCGGGACGCACCGGTTTGGAGTTGAATGAGTAAGCAGGGTTTCAAACCTCTCTTCTTATCAGTTTATTGGAAAAAAAAATAGAAGATATTTTGCAACTGTAGGTCGTTCAGCCCCTTTAATGTTCATATTTAACACTACATAACTCATGAATTAACAATTGAGGGCGGGGCTAACTCATGATTGACGGGTCAATGCCACAGCGTTGTCTGGTCTGGGAGTTGTTTGTGTTATTGTTCAGGTGACATTCTGCACTCACCCATGCACTGGGATGCGGAGGATCTTCTGCATGGTGGAGAAGATCTTGGTCACTTTTTCTATGCTGCGGTCGGTTCCGTGCTCCGAGATGATAATGGACTTGTTGATATCTTCAACGACAGAAAGCCAAAAGGTTACAGGTGTGACACACGCACACAAGCTTCCGGTCTTCCGGATTGAATGTGTGCGACCTTTTTTGGAAACACGGCCGCGGTACCTTTTACATCGGACACCTGAATCTGCTCATCGTCGCAGAAAGCTCCCTGCCCCCTCCGCGCTTTGTACATTTTGTCTTCCAAGCAGCTGTACACCACACCGAACTCCAGCTGAAAAGAAAGACCGTCCTTTGACCTCGCTCATCTGGATGAAGCACTTTTAAACGGCTGTCGAGATGGATTTCACATACCTGCTTATTGACGGCAAACGCGATGGACACCGCGACGAAGGGGAATCTGTGAGGAAAAAGCTACTTTAGTCTTGTGCATCCTGGAACATCACGAACATCACCGTTCCAGGACCGTTTTCCAGTGAATGGGCCTTCAACGCATCTGCCGTCTCACCCGTGCACAAAGTTCGTGGTGCCGTCGACGGGGTCTATGATCCACGTGGGCTTATCAGTCAAGATACACGCCTCCCCCTTAGAGACGGACTCTTCTCCAATGAAACTGCAGCACGGAAGAACCGATGACAAATATCAATAAATGCAACAAACATAGACATGCGTCTGTGTGTGTGTGTGAGACTGACCAGTGTGTGCCATCGCCGAATTGCTCCTTAAGAGACCCGATGATGATCTTCTCCACCCTCTCGTCAGTCTTGGTGACGAGGTCCACGGCGGAGCTCTTTGTCTGGATCTTTATTTCCTCCTCCCCGGCTTTCCTGATGACCTGAACGAAGAGCAGAGCGTTGGCGCGCGGCTCGGGGGTTAACGTGGGTGAAGTAGGGCGCGGCTCATTCTTTTTACGTACCGCTCCAGCCGCTCTTGCAACCTGAACAGCGAAGTCGTAGGCGGTCTGCCACGGGTCTGCCATGGTGTGTGCACGGGGGTCTTTGCTGAGGAGAGCCTGTAAAAGGAAGAAAGCTTGTAAAAGTGCAACTCGGACCCATAAATGCATCGACGGGGGCGTTTGTCCTTCATCAGGAACAGAACACACTTTACAAAAATATGGTTATTAGCACCTTGTCAAATGTGTCGCTAACGACGACCGTCTCTGAGGACCCACAATGCAATACTTTTAATCCCGCGTGCTTAGCACACTGCTCTTACAATAGAGTTGCGCATCACTTTGCGTCTTTGTAACAAACCACCACCGGGGGCCACGCGCAGGTTCCACATTTTAAAATGTAAAGAAACGGTAGATTTCAGTGAATGATGAAGGAATTAAACGCACGTGAACTCCATTTCCTGCAAATTATATTTGATGATTTAAATACTTGATTTTGAAATTTGTTTTACAAGTTTAAACATGATTTACAGATTAGTTGCGGTGTTAATGTGGGAGTACACGCACTAATGCTGCAGCGTGAAAATACTCTGCTACGTTTAAAAGACTTCAAGTCTGTGAGTTTTATCAAGAAAAATAAGTGCGAAGCCGTCATGGTGCCAGTCAGTGTCTTTATATCACCGCTGAGGAAGTCTTTAACTCCTTTGTATATATCGTGATCAGTAATGCATCATGTTCTAGAATCTGTGAGAAACATTTAGTTTTTTACTGGATGGAAATAAGATGAAAACAAAGAAAGTTACACATTCGTAAGAAGCAGCTTTGAGTTGCATACGATGAGAAATGTTGCTCTCATCAATATTTACAGTACTTCTCACTTATGTAACGCAGCGGCAAATATTCTACTTTCGGGCAACTTGTCTGACGGCTTTGGTGACTTTTCAGAATACGATTCCCACCTCAGAGTGTTTTCGGTGATGAGTTACACAAAAGGAACAACACGTGTTTGCCCAATTATCCATCCACTCCATCCAATTATCCATGCAGACACACACACAGGTATCATTGGAAAAAGGAAGAAGAAAAAAAACCTCACCTTGTGAAGAAAGACGGACCAGCTGTCAGTAGCTCCAGGATAACAGTGCACAGTCTTTTGAAGAGCCTTAAGTTCCTTATTGGAGAGATTAAGCAACTTATTTTTTCTCTTTTTTTTTTCTCTCTCTGGCATGACACAATGGGAAAAGTACCAGCACCGCCCTCCTGCAGGAAACCGACCCAAAGGAAGAGGCAACGATACGAAGGCCGACCTGCAACAACACGATGTGCTCAGCGCGCATCAATGTGAGCAAGTGGAAAATTTCACCAGGTTTTTTCAGGGCAACACACCCTGCTGCGTACTTCCTTTAGCCACATATGTGCATGCTAAAGCTGACATGTGTGGCAGTCACAGACGTTGGCATGAGCCACTCTTTGCGTTGATATTGGTGCATAAACCAGATTCGATGAGGAAACAAAAGCCCCGTCACTTGTGTACTTCCCGACACTTTCACAGCTATTGTGTTTTTCCTTTACGACCTCTCGTGGCGTCCAGCGGGTGGAAAATACCACGAAAAGGTCTCCTGGCGCATCAATGCGTGCATGCATGCCTCCTTCTCATTGTGCAATATCCTCATAAAGTGGATGAAACTATTTTCCTCACACGGGTCGAGATGCGTCTGCACCGACATGCATGCGTCAAAATGTTTATCACAAGTGTTCACGCCTGAGCGCAAAACCGCTATCGCAATTAATTCAATAAGGAGCTGTTGCAACATCAAACAGCAATGCTGTGCGAGTAATTAAAAGAAGCATTTTCATAAATCCATTCGCTCCCACAGATACAGTGAATGTGCCATTTTAAACTAATTCATTTAAATGCAAGTTGCCCTTGAGTCCTGCGGAGTGCAGACTGCTTCGTGCTACGTCCCGTCAAACGCCGCGGGAGGTTCCCGTCGCCGGAAGTCACACCTTGCTGCAAGACGGATTGTTGAATCACCGGTAAGATCTCCATGTCTCAATGTGATCGCATTGTGCATGTCGACATGCCTACGGCCGGGAACCTGGGGGGGGGACCAAGGGGGTAAACATCTGCACACACCACATACATTTGTCATTATGTTTAATGGCCTTTTAAGAGCACGCATGTCTACATGTCGCAGGCACCTGAATTCCATCCGTTTTGGTTTTTTATTTCCGCGGCTCGTTCAGACATGACGTGAGTCACAGCCACACCTTGCATAACTCCACTCTGTGTGTTGAAATACCCGCTTCAACGGTCTGCTGTGCCGCATTAGCACAGAAAGAGGGTGAGCACCAACCGCACGAATTATCCCTGCTTGACCTCCTTGGTCTGGTCTGGATCTCCGTCTGATCCTTCTGGGGATCCAGAGCCGCCAAAACAAACCCATGAACCCCCCGCCAGATGGGTGTGCGTGGTAAAGTTTTAGTTTGACCCGCAGCAGCAGAGGAGCAGTCGTCGCCCCGCCGTGCACTAAATATGAGGCGTTGGGGGGGGGGGGGGGACACGCTGAGGGAAGTGATGGGACGAGCAAGACAAATACATCAGTCCCGCTGTCTCGCCGGCAGGTTCGTAATGAATAATTTATCCGGGGTGGCCGATGTTTTGGGTTGTTCGGTTCCCCCCCCCAGAATCACAGCTGTATTTGAGGCCTGCCACCCCGCTGGAGAGGCTGAAGGTCGACGGCACCTCCTGAAAGATGAGCGGCAGCTGCGAACACGTTTTTTTCACGCGTCCCCGCGTGGCCTTCGAATTGCGAACTGATGGCGCATCGTTCTGAAACGCCTGCAGGGCTCGACTCTCGCAACTCCCGGGGGAACATCTGTGCCCGCGCCCCTTTTTTTTAGCAAAGAGCAACGGCTGACGCTTCCGAACGGGCACAGGAACAAAGCTAAAGACAACGCAGGTGGAGTCGACAGGAGGACGTTGCTCTCAGCTGGCTGAGCCTGGAAATCGGTCCCGGCGCTGGCGATTACGCCTGCCCCCCCCGCTGCAGACTAAACACGGACCATTGATTCCTTGGGAGGGGGGCCCCCCAGCAGAACGGGACCCGCGTTTGCTCAAGTGTTTAACAAAAGAAAAGAAAAACATTGGTTAGTCATCAGCCAACGCAAGCTGCAAAAATAAAGAACTGACGGCAGTCTGTGGAGAGCCAAACTGGGCTATTTCCCAGAGAAGAACCGCCTGGGGGGGGGTTAGTCGGCTGCTTTGCATGTGCAGTGTCTGCAGCACTGACTGAAAGGGCAGCAGAGAATGTCACATGGTGTAAATGCTTTCATCTCTTCACTAAATCACAGCGGGTGAAGCAGTGTGAGAGTTTTCTTTTCCACATGTTTCAGTGTCAGAGGCCTGTTTTCTGTTTACTGTTCATTTGGTTTGCTACAAGAGACACTTGCTTTCTTCCAAAAATCCGTTTTCTAGGTTGGACGTCTACTCGAGGTCAGAACACAGTGGGACTGTCAGCGAGGTGTTCAGACTGGACTTTCCCATCTCCAGAGCAGTGCTGGATGATGTCCGATTGGAGGCGACGCCGGCTGGTGCAGAAGCTGCTGTTTCGTCTCGAGGAATCGGCCGTGGCAGATTTCCTTTTAACGCTGGCAACCGTTTCTTCACAAACGAATGACAGCAAACTCCTTTTTTCGTCAAAGAAATTCAACGTTTTGTGCACAAATGCCGGCGCTCAGGTTTTACTTCTTTCGCTAATGGTAGTCTTCGGTCTACGAGCGCAGCCGACGTGTGGATGCATGCTGACAGCTGTCCCGGCACGGCTTTAATGACATGCATTTATCTGTCTGCGGTGTGTCAGGAAGAGGCGGGGCCTCGCACGAGGTATATATAGGCCTCTTTATTCGCTCCTCCATCCAGTCGGCGTATTGCAGCCCGAACGAGAAGAAGTTATACAACAAAGTATTTATATACAAACCACGTTTGAAGTACAGGTTGCTGGATCAACTCGCGATGGCACTCAAAGATATTTACATAAAGATATTTGTGTATATAAGAGTGCACGTTGTGTTGTCGTGGAATATGGATCAGCATGCAGCAGAACGCTGTGCAGAGGCCTCAGGCGACTGACTACACGTAATAAAGGGGCTAGTTCCTGGCTAACACGAGCTCAGCCAATCATCATTTAGCAGAAGACAGACGGACCAGCCAATAAATGTCACTCACATTCAACCAAATACAAAACCGAAGATTAAATCTGACACAAATAAGCAATAATATTGGTCAAACCCTGAAAACATTTACACTAAAATAGAGATTAGTGCCGTAAAGAGGAATTGTTCCATGAATAAATATATGACAGGAAATGGCAATAAAAGTGTGAGTATCAGGAAACACATTTCTTAAATACTAGGACTGAAAAGTCTAAATGTGTGAGAGGCAGAATGTAGAAACACAACAGGGACTTCTACAGAAAGCAGAAACAACGTACGTCCCGAATATCTTAAGTTCAGGGTTCTACCTCTTACGGCTAAAAGCATAATCGTAAACACAGAAGCAGGTCGGCAGAAGAGATGCTGCGGACGCGCTATCCATCCGTGTCGTCCCGCCCGACGCGCAGCTCAGCGACCTGCTTGGCGATGCGTTCTGCTACGGCTCTGCTGCTGGCGACGATCAGCCTCCGGGACATCAGATCAAACGGTCCACCTGCAGGAGAGGAACGTCACCTCCACCCTTCTGCTGCTTTTGTCATAGTTTCATACAGTTTTAAATTCGGATTTTGACACAGTTTGACCCCAATGTGAGCAAAGAGGACGGAGCATCCCAAGAGGCGTTTGGAAAGTGGTTCCACCTCAATGCCGCACGCACACACACACACACGGCTTAAATATACAGAAATATGCCTCACCTGAAATGTCCATGATGACCCCCCCGGCCTCGGTAACCACCGCCGCCCCTCCGGCCATGTCCCAGCAGTGGATGCCCATGTGGTAGTAGGCGTCGGCCGAGCCGCACGCCACCAGGCACATGTTGACGGCCGCGCTGCCCGGCGAGCGGATGCTGAGGACGCACATGGGATTCCTGCTTATTTAAAGTTCCCTCATTGCTTCTCTCAGTTAGGACGGTTTCTAACACGCTTTGCTGATGGCGTCATCAGGCTGCCGGCGCGTCGCCTCATCAAGCGTTTAAAAATAAACACCGCTGCTTCACATTAAAAGCGTGACCCACTGGCGAAACACGGCGGGGGGGGCTTTATTGTGAAGAGTCGACAGGAAACATGTTTACTGATGATTGATTGTGTCTAATTCGAGTAATGGCGCTTGGAGGAGCCGGCGTCGGCTGTAGCGCGTGTTTACCCGTGCACGGGGATGGTGAGGATGCTCTCGACGTTGGCCAACATCGTTCGGAAACGTGCGGGATCCTTGTCGAAGTTCATCTCCGTCAGCACCAGCGATCGGCTGATGTCTTCGATGACACGGACAAAACACCAGTAAAACACCAGCTGAACTAAAGAACACAGAGAGGCAGCTCGCCGACTTTGGCGCCACCTGCTGGACTTGTTGAAGGAGTGACGCCACTATCGGCGTTTACCTTCCTGCCCGGACACTTTGATGGGGGCTCCGTTGCAGAACGCCCCCTTCCCTTTGCGCGCCGTGTACATCTTGTCCTCGATGCAGCTGTAGACGACCCCGAACTCGATCTGAGGGCGAGACGCAGGGGGGCTGAGAATAGAACTACCGTGCCGCTCATCAGAAACACGCTGGGTTACTGCGGTAATGAATCTTTTGGTTTCGCCTAATTAAGATGTTACAGTGTCAAAAGCAAACGCTTGACTCGCCAACAGTAAAGCTCCGTACCTCTTTCTTCACGGTGAAGCCGATGGATACGGACACAAAGGGGAACCTGCATGAAAAGGAATTTTTAATATAAGAAAAGCATTCCTTTAATGAACTCCCTTTAGGTTTAAGCTCGGGAGGATTCAATTTCTGTTATCGGTTCAGTTTCATCTACATTGTCTAATTATACCTGACGGAGAGGACAATCCGAGAGAGAACCCAATTAAAAGATAAAAAGAAATAGGAGATAAACTAAATCCAGTGGCCGATCGGGCTTCTTAATGGCTCGTATGAGGCTTAATGTACAGCGAGCGGGTCGTTACTGCCTAATGAAGTCAGGGTTCAGAGGGTAAGCCGGTACCCCGACATGAGGTACTTTAATACAATATAGGAATCTAAATATCTCTTGTTCTCTTTTATTAAGAAAAGTATATTGTGTCCCTGTCACTGGGTATTGTATCCATGGCAACTGCAACACAGAGCAGCGGCTTGATACGAAGACCAATCAGAGTCGAGTTGTACCGGTGAACAAAGTTGGTGGTGCCATCGATGGGGTCGATGATCCAGGTGGGATCGTCCGTCAGGACGCTGGCGGCGCCTGCTGCTACCGACTCCTCGCCTATGAAGCTTGGAATCAGAAAGAAAATAAACTATTTGGACGGACCACTTGATGTCAGTATTAACAAATGACACGGAGCGTATTTAGTTCCTCTCTTTGTGTGAAAAAGAAATGCCGCCAACGTATAGAAAACTATCATCCACACGAAGAACCAAATAAGTAAAATGTAATTGAAGGCATGAAAACAAGGACCAAACTTTAAGGGATAAAGAGATGTAAAAATACACCGTCACTCCTCATGTCCCTCTGGTCAAGTACCTGTGAGCGGGGAACTTCTCCTTGATGGAGGAGATAATGAGCTGCTCCACTCGCTGGTCCGTCTCGGTCACCAGGTCCACTGGCGAGCTCTTCTGCATGACGGCGATGTCTTTCTGCAGCGCCTCGCGGATCATCTGGCAGAAACACGACAAACTCAGCGAGGGCGTTTTCTCGGGACGACCGCCCGCTACTTTAAGTCAGACGTGTCGCGTGTGATATGAGACAGCGGGTCAGAGATAATAACGAAACGTCTTCACCGTTTCATGGTAACTTTAGGAAAACAAAAGATAACATTACTCTTTAATATGAACCTGGAGAAGTTAACTTCCTGACTCAAATTTGTAACAAAAAGGGAATATTGCTATAAACTCTTATTTTCTCTTTGCTGTAAGAAAAAGTCTTGTTCAGTCTATATTATTTTTACAGTGTATTTGGAATGCTGTATGACCAACCTCATGTAATGTATACAAAAAATACCTTTTTTATCTTTTAACACCTTTTGAGGGAATGTTCTGACCATCTTTTGAGATGCTTGAACACCGGTCTGACCTCAAATTAAAAATGCAGAATTTTCCTTAGTTAATTTGCATTCATTTGCAATATTAAAACTCCTCTCAGGCCCCTCTCTTGGGGGCTAATGTGAATATTGAAACATTAAATGATCTTCTTGGATCTCATGTGATCACATCCGGCATCTGCAAGTCCCTTGCATACACGTTGCGTGGAAACAAACAGCAAAGGGGGGATTCTTCATTCACCTCGCCGGCCTTTTTGGTGACTTCCACACACAGATCCAAACACTCCTGCCAAGGATCACTCATGTTGAATCGGGGACGAGGAGCCAGAAGACTCGAGATTCCCAGATAATGACGGATTGAAACGTGTGTTTCCTGTTGAGGGGAAAAACCCACACGCGGGCTTAGTTTACAATAAACAAACAAAAACAATAATAAACAAAAGCAGCCGCAGACGAATCGGTCTTTGGACGAAAGAAGCGAGTCCAGAGAGTCAAGTCAAGTTAGCTTAACGTGCTAGCTAGCTTTGAAACTAATAAAGTTAACGCGTCACCACTTCTACGTAACGTTACAGGTTGGGCCAGGCAGCTTTGTAACGTCTTAATTTACGCTTTAATAGATTACAGTAGCGAGCGGGTCGATAAACTAAAGGTAACGTTAACTCGACCCACCTCCGCGCAGGATCCACTTCCGCACGGACTTTTAACATGCGCATGGCGGGGCGGGACTTTTGGTGGCTTCTCTCGCTCTCATTGGTTGAAAAGATTCAACCGGAAAAACAATCGCTGTTGTCATTGGCTAGAATGCTGTCGTCTCTCCACACAGGAAATTGGTGCATTTTAAATATTGTCATTTACTTGTTGGCATGTATGTATCAGAAGGCTGTAATAACGGATTATTCGGTGCGCTCTTTTTGATATATTGTATTTGTATACTGTACTGAGCAGCAGGACTAAAAGTTGGTGTGGAGTAAATCAGCTGTCTTACCATGTTTTGTCCAGCAGGGGGCAGCAGCAGCTCTCCATACGATCGGATGTACAGATTTAAAAGGAACCTTTATTGCAGCAGGTTTCCACATTTGAGAAATTCACTGTTAAAGCCAGTTTCCCTAAAGCTTAATGGACGCATTATTTAATATACAAATTTGCATACGACTCCAGAACTATAAAGGTACTTTTTGTCACTTGGCTTTTCGGCACTTCTTAAATCAGTTTAATATTTTTAGCTGTAGGTTTCAGGAAACACGTTTAGGAATCATCAGGATTGTGGTAAAAATACTACATTATTTGCTTTATTTCTGGATTAAGTTATTCTGGTGTTAAGCTTCCTTTTGATTGAGTTAATAATTCTCAGACTTCCCCAACCAGCAAGATATTTGGTTCTGCTTCCAAGAAACACATTTACACGCAGCGTACTGTACATTCAGAGGAATTACATCACACTACCGTTATAGCCCGGAGCTACACTGCATTTTGTCAACGACGCAGTGACGAATGTTTGAGAAGAGTGATCACACCTTGTCTCGCTTTTCTTTTAGGCTGTATTTGGTTATTAACCTTAAATAATGATGTCTCCCTGTGCGTGGTGCTAACAAAACAAATTAGCTTTTAAACAAAAGGGCACCATGAAATGTGTCTTACAGATTTACCCTCAGGCAGACGTTATCTCACAAAGATGTGGCAGCAATTCTCCATCATCATAAGCAGTTGAGGAAAAGTTGATCTTAAATCAGACCCATCTGTACAAACTGTATCCAAATTTCAACGAAATAAGTATTATTTTTATTAACAAAAAGGATATTGTGACGGCATGTGGAAGTTCCTGGTAAGTGTCCGCATGGTAACTCACCATCCGATCACACGCTGACACACACGCTGACAATTACCAGCATTGCCGTCACGCATGATATTTATTCATTGAAACCTTGGGTCAAGCATAACAAATCACTGAGCTTCCCCTCATTTCAAGTGATGCCAGGAAATTCACAGAGAAGATAAGACAAGACATAAGACTTTTAGGTTTTTTAGTTTTAAGCCTTCCAAGAAAAGTCTGATGAATGAAAATCACTCTTTAGTTGATGCATATGAACATATAAACATACGAATCCAGTTCTCATTGAACGATTAACCTGTGAAAAAAGCAGCAGGAAAAATGCATTGCAAACACACTTATTCATAATGCCCTATGAATAAAGTTGATAGTACCAAAAAATATCATTTTTCAAGGCTTCCAAAACATGCAGACAGCCACAAACTCTTCCTCCAGCCCTTCTCACCACGACCCAGAGAACAGCGCACACTCTGTGTGGGGAGATTCTTATTGGGACCATAATGGGAGTCATGAGGATCTACTCTTTTCGACAGGAAGCTGTAAACAAAAAAAAAAGAAACATCTCATCTGTCCTCAAAGTACGACTCGGTGGCCTGTGTTTGTGGACACACAAAGACAAGCCCCTCGCTCGCGTCAACCAGGGACGTAGCAGAACAACCGGACTCGGCCTGTGCACAAATGTGACCCGTGAGTCGAGACCTTTATCTCAAGTTGACCTTCTGCACGGAACAAGGTGAGCGTTTACCTCCTTCCTGTGGGATTGCAGCACTGGGAGTGTGCGCCGACTTCCTCGCGGTGTGTTCTGACTGCATGTTCTCAGTTACTTGAAACCAATTCCCATGAACGGTCTTATTGTTTGCTAAACGTCGGTTATACCACGTCAGTCAACCATGCAGAGCAAACACGCACCTTGCGAGTTCCTGAGAACAGCGTGTTTGTCATCAGAGGTAACAATTTACTGCTGTTAACCACAATAGGCTGGAGTACAGCGTGTAGCGACAAGAGGCCGATGCCCTCCGGTGTCTCGCTGCCATGAGCTCCTTTCAAACATCTTTCTTCGGCAAGTCACTTTCCCCCATTCATCTCCCACTCCTCCTTTTTGATTTACCCTGCGCACGTTTGAACGTGATGTTTTTAATCCTCCGTCTTCTCAAAGGGTTTTTCATCAGCCAGCTGTGCGTCGGTCAACTGAGAGCACAGCTGGGCACCACGCCGAACATTAAGCACATTGTGGTTGGACGGTGCTACAATTACATCACTCTAGTTAACCCCAGCTTGAGGTAACGTACGTTGCACAAGGACTTTTGTTATTGCAACACTTCTACAAACCTCGAGTGGGACTTTTAATATTTAGATTATTTTTAGCGAAAAAAGTCGAAAATTGATATTCTGCCAATGGACCAGCCGCCTGACAGGCTTCTGTGCGTAGGATTGACTGTGAGGAGATCTGGCGACGGTTTGAGGAGTCGGTCGTCTTCCGGTCCTCGTTCAACGCGACGGTGGATTACAGTCAGATGTTCGATGCCATTCCTCAAACGTGGCCTTGTAATACGGTGAGACAGGCTCTCAAACCGGACATTCGTCATTCACAGATGCCCCTTTAGATGACCTCTTTGGCCTCGTGTCTATAGTGTCTCTTCTGGAGCAAAACCAGGAACCTGATGCACAGCTACGCAGCTGTGGAGCGTCACTTCTGGACCTTGGAGGACACGCTGGTTGGCTTCATGTTCAACGACCTGGTCTGGTGCGGACAGGAGAAACACTCCGGTACCTCGTTTGTAACGAGACGGCTGAAACTGAATTAAAAATTTGAATATCATCCAGGTGGGGGCCACTTGTTTTCAACTAAAAGCTGTGAATTTGACACGCAGGCTTTGGTTTCAGTTCCTGTCCGCCTTGGGCGGCGAGTACACATCACCCAGTGTATTCCCTGTGGAGGCACGCCTCACAGAACGTGAGTTTACGGTCCAAACCCACCTGTCGTTTGTCATTCGTGTGCGACACACTGCTCCAAAATTGGCTTTGTGACCATTTCTCCCAACGTGACTTTCCTCCCCCATTCGTTAGTTTGCGGAAATGGCGTGCGGCAACATCACTGTATTGCTGAATGGGTCCATTTCCAACGCCTTCAACAGGGAAAGGTAGAGAAATAAATGAAGACGCAAGTGTTTTATTAAAGGTGTTGGTTGAAAATGGATGAATCGTACATTTGTTTCTTCACAGCATGTTTGGAAGTGTCGAACTGGACGGTCTGGACCCCTGCAGAGTGGATTACGTCAACATAAAGGTGGTGACCAACCTGGAGGGACCTTTCACGTGAGGATAAAAACAGCAGTAAACCGCTGGATCTCCACCATGACTTATTATCTTCCACGTTTGCTTCTCTAACCCATCGAGAGGAGCCTCTGGAGGACAGCTTCCAAAATCCATGTGTTCCCATGAGAAGACTATATTTCCTGCTACGACAATAAAGCTGAAGTGAATCGTTGCTTGAAAAACGGATGAACTTAACTGAGGCGGTTTTCTTAAAGGCTTTGAGCTGAACCTTAAGTATAAAAACAATAAAATGAATGTTATTAACTATTATGACCTTTGTCATTGCCATTAGTTCCAGCTCTACGAATGGTGACGTAATATTTAAATCAACAGCTCAAGTTCCCTTTGGTTCTTCTTCCGTAGAGAATCATGTAGTAAAGGGTCCATCGCAGACTTGATCCAGGTCTTGCGGTCCAGAGGCTTCCGCTGGACCTGCACACACAACGACGAGTAAGTGACGTCCGTGGAAGGAAAGGACACAAGTTGCTTCCCTCGAACATGCGTACTGATATAGATGTTTGTCCGCAGGACCCTGATGATCCTTCAGTGTGTTCAGAACCCCGAGCAGTCCTCCTGCCAACGATGTGCAAGCGGCTTCTCGCACGGACGCGACCTCTAGTCCGCCTGAATCACCCACAGATTCATGTGGCTGTTAAGACTGAAGGTGGACAAAAATGAATTGGCAGCTCAAAGATTTCCCGAAGCAAAGTGCTTCGGTTTGCCCCTCGTTCTCTTCACTGGATTCCATTTCATCAGCCGATCAAGTCAGAGAATTAAACTGTTTTCTGCAGCAATATGATATCTGACTATTATGGGTTAAAAGGCTCTCACACATCCACATGCTGTCAGATCCTGGTGGAATCAAAGCTTTAAAACGCTCCACCCTCTGCTCCTCCGTCACCGTCTGCAGCCACGGCCGAGGACCAGAGCCGGCCGCTTACAACCTGCCGTCCCTCCAGGAGTTTCTCCCCTCCAGGTCTCTGAGTCGGGCCAGAAAGATTGTAGCCGACTCCGCTCTCTCCGTGGGGACAAACGGTTTGGTTCCCAATTCGTCCGGCTGGATGCTGCAGCCCATCGGGACTGAAAGAGCTGCTGTCTGCATGTGGACTCATCAACAAAGCCTGTACATACACTTTAATAACATGCTGGTTTGTTTGTTATATTTTATTGGAAGTTTTCCTATTTTCTGTTTTCAAGTCATGTGTTTTACTGTCACCCTGTGTTTAACTTTTTGGCAATAAAACGGTTTGATTTCTGACTTTGCAGAGATGAAAGAACCAGAGCAGACAGGTTAAGCAACCACTTAAAAACCACAAAGTCAGGGGAGGTGAGACTGGTCCAAAATTACTTTATGTTGCGTCACATTCATCAAGTTTACCATTGATGGAAATGAGTAAATGGTTGTATATCATTCACGAATTAGGGTCCACAATAAATAAATAAAGACTATTGACTATATATATATATATATATATATATATATATATATATATTTATTAAATAAATAAAGACTATTGCATAGAAAAAAACGGATGACTAATATAGTTAGTATATATATATATATATATATATATATATATATATATATATATATATATTTATTAAATAAATAAAGACTATTGCATAGAAAAAAACGGATGACTAATATAGTTAGTATATATATATATATATATATATATATATATATATATATATATATATATATATATATATATATATATATATAAAAGATTCTGCACAGATACAGAGTTGCTTGGTGAGTTCTCGGTTTGGGGGCACACTTGATTTTTTTTTTTTGCTTTAGCCCATCTCTCTCAGTCCTATATATATATATATATATATATATATATATATATATATATATATATATATATATATATATATATATATCACATCTACATGATCTATTTGGCATCCTCGCAACTCCCTTCGGGCACAACGCACGCGCTCAGCAAGTGCACCAGCCCCCCCTCCCCATAAATAGAAGCGCGGCCCCGCACGACGTCTCACTACACAGCAAACAAGTGGCGCAATGCAGCGCGCAGAGTCCGGTCCCGCGGAGAGGATACGCAGGAGACGCCGCCTCGTCGGCATCGGGGTCGCGGTCCTGGTCCTGGTCCTGCTGGGCGTCGTGGTCGCCGTGGCGGTGACTCTGTCGTTGCGGGGGAATACGCGCACGTTTAAGGAGACGTTCGTCGCGAGGTGCGAGGACTTCAATGGGTGAGTTTAAAAACCAGTGTACGTGCACGTAGCGGTTAGTGTAATAATAATAATAATAATAAACCACGCAGCAATGAGACTTAAGTCAGTTTGGCTTAATACACTTTAAGATTTGCTCAATATTTGCTGTAAGTAAATAAGTAATTCTAAGATATATATATAAGATATATATATATAAGATATATATATATATATTATGACGAATATTACAAATATATTTTATATAATTGACTATACAATAGTCAACAATTGTGTTTCTGAAACACGGAATAATATTTGTAAATTAAAATATCTGTGCAAAATCTATGCTTTTCCTACACGTCCTCTCCGCCTGTCTCAGCTGAACTTGGGCCAGGTCCCAAAAGGCGGGTCTAAGAAGCAGTTTAGCCAATCACTGATTAAGCTAAATGAGTGACATATAATATCATTTTGGCGTCCTAAACTACACGCAGCGCTGGTCGGGACGAGACGCTCCTACAACATTCAACATAACATTGATACAAGACTCATTGACAGCGAGGGACAGAATTCAGTCCACATTCAGTCCTCCATTGGAGTTGTTTTGTGAAGCACGTACTTAAGAAAAAAAGAACTCCATCAATAAAATCTCTACCGTTGTAAATAAACTGTTTGAAAACTTGTAGTCATGTCCACATCATATCTAAAGTAGATATTGACTTGACTACAGTCAATAAGACAACAACATCAGGTCAATTAATCATTGATAAGAAGAGCAAGCAAAGCAAAACACACAAAACACACACCTGCGTGCTTCACAGGCCGCTCCACGAGCACGTTAACACTCGCCTGCATTGTGCGACTACCCTCCTACGATACTTTAACCTTTCCCAGCACAAAGGGGCCGATCAGCGTCGCTGAGACGTCTGCTTTGTTCTCCAGAACCGACTGTGAGAAGATCTGGGGCCTGTTTGAGGAGGCCTACGTGGGACGGGACCCTTGCAAAGTTCCCGTGGCAGCCTACGGGCCTTTGATCGCCGCCGCCCCCTTCCCACCCAAATGCAACCAGGTGAACGCCGCTCGTCACGTGCGCGGTATCGCCTCTTAATCAATGCAGCACAATAGGTTCAACTTGTGTGCGTTTCTGTTTTGACGGGTCGGGGGGGTTAGAGGATTTTCTGGAGCAAAACGAAGGCTGTGGTCCATGACTTCACTAAGAAGAGAAAGTGTTTTGAGACCGTGGAGGACACCCTGCTGGGATCGGTGCTGGACGGGCAGACCTGGTGCGGAAAGGAGGGCAGCAATGGTGAGACACTTTGTTTGTGCAGACTTTAGCAGTACGTGACGTCTCAGGGCTCCTGTGTTCTTTTACTCAAGTGAACATAAGTGTCGTCTCTGTGCTCGTCGCTATAGAAACGTTTGCTACCGGCTGCCCGGGGTGGACCGACTGTGAGACCAGCGCCGTTCGCTCCTTTTGGAACGGAGCCTCCGCTGCTGTAAGTCATCAACAAGGACTCTCTGGTTCTGGCAACAACACGACACACGTGTGCTCGAGCAGCGGCCACAATAACGCACACGTGGAGCACGAGGTCAAACACCTCCTGTGATCAGGAAGAGAGCGGAGGAGAGGAATCAGTCAGCCGGCCCGCTTCCTCATCAATGAGGCTTTGTGCCGGTCTCCATGGAGACGCACCGCCGGGCTCTCTCCTGCACGAGCCGACCCACACACACCAGAACCTACACACACCAGAACCAACACACACCAGAACCTACACACACCAGAACCTACACACACCAGAACCCACACACACCAGAACCTACACACACGGTCTGGTATGTCTGGGTCTCATTCCGTTATAAAGCCACCAACACATACACACACTTTTAAGTTCCCAATACAAAGCAATAAAAACACACAGATTTAATTCCGAGGGCCAAATGTTTGGGTTTAAGTTGTTGGTTGAGACTAAAAACAGTGAATATGGATATGAGTCATAAGGCTCCCAACCTAAACAAACAGCTAAAGTTTACGCTTTCAAAATTAAACTGAGATGTTTGTCAGCGTCCTTGTTTCTGCTGCCTCCAGCCGGCCTAAAATGACAGTTCAGCTCTTGGTGGTTTAAGAATAACAACGATAGGAATTTTGAGCCTCCTGCCAACAATAATAAAAGATTAAAATACATAAATAACCATTGATGTTTTCCTATTGGCTTTAACAGTAGATCTAAGTATGTTAAAAATGCAACTCCGTCAGCACTAAATTAACTCTGCAAAAGAAGTCGTCGGGCTGTAGTTGGAATCTAAGGTGAAGTCCAGGACCGGACATTTAAAGTACTACTTTATTCATTCAAAAATTAAAAAGGCCTTGGGGAGAAACACGGACGGGGAACACAAGCAAACAAACTCAGCGCCATAAACAAGACACTCAGCAGCACCGTAGGAAACCCAGTCAATGAACCGACACAGGACAAGAGACGCACGGTTTAAAGACACTGGGACGGTGCAGGTGATTGGACGCGGGAGACAATCGCCCACTGGAGAACACACCAGGGCAGGAAGTGATGCTAACCCAGGGGGCAGGAAACTACTAAATGAAACAGGAAACAAACCCACACCGTGACAGCTGCATTTCCTCTAAAGTCGTCCTCTTGCTCAGTTTGCAGACGCCGCCTGCGGCGACGTCACAGTGATGCTCAACGGGGCCGTCGCCACGCCGTTCTATAATAAAAGGTGGGTGCTTATCAAAAGCTGAAGCTGGAAATAAAACAGAAAAGCTCAGTATGTAGTTGTGGCTGGAACGTTATTTAATGTCCCTTAATAAAGCATTTCAAAATAATAAGAAGCCAAACTTCTGAATATCAAGACCATGAAACATGTGCAAGTCATTTTCTTTGATATTCCCTGTTGTTGTTGTTGTTGTTGTTGTTGTCTCCCACCTTGCTGAGTAACAGCTGCTCTTTTGTCCTCGCTGTCAGTGTGTTTGCGACCATCGAGGTGCCGCGGTTCCGCTCCCCCAAGGTGCGAAGCCTGAAGGTCGTCCTGGTCACGCAGGAGAACTCGCTGTAAGATTTCCGCCTCCTTGAATTTGAGTCGTTTCCCTCCGTCGATCCAAAAGTCACGTTTTCTGTTCCCTCTTCAGCACGAGCTGCGAGAACGAGTCTTTGAAGGACTTGCAGAGGAAGCTGGATGGAGGAATTACGTACAGCTGCAAGGCAGTGCCTGAGTACGTACAGCGTGTTTGTGTGAGAGGACGTCTCCATGTGTCCAGTGTGTGGACCCCATGTCACTCTCTCTCTCTCTCTCTCTCTGCAGGGCTCAGATCAACGACTGCAGCTCCCATCCAGAGAAGCCCTGCGGATCCTGTTGGTGAACTAAACAAAATAATGAAAAATGAAGCCATGCGCCGTGAATTCTTTTTGTACGTCGGCCAGTTTGACTTAATGTGAAATGCTTTGTAAAAGCCCCTCTTACCTTTTTAGTTTTTATGACTATACACGTTTTTATAATGTTTTTATTAAATGCTAAGTTGTGAGGGGAAACAGCAGTGCTGCCGTCTCCCTCACGCCTGGTGGCGGAACATTTAAAATGCCTTTTAATAAAATGTTACGATGCCATCATGTGAAATTGTCTTCAGCTTCTTCTGATTGTTTATGTGAAACATATTTTGCACAAATCCCCCAAAACAATAACAAATGGAGGTGTATTAAAGTTGTGTGACAGAATGAGACACAGTATGTAGTTTATTTATATATTTTTATTTGTCAATAGTTATTTAGTAATCGGTATTTCTTTTGCCACAATATTCACAAAGAATATGAATTTTGGGGATTTGTTTAAGCAAATTCAAAAATTTGTTTATAGCGAGATTTCTTACTTAAGTATAACAACACAAGAAAATTAAAGTTATTTAATTTAAGCAGAAGAGGAAATTATAATACATGGGATAATGATTAGTGTTAGAATTGTAGTGTTGTGTTATTGTATATAAGTTATTGCATTAGCATGTTATATTATAAATAACTGCAATATGAATTAAACACAATTTATAGTTTATTACTGTACACACGACATTCTGCCACAATGCAAAGTTATGGATTTCTTGATCTTGATTTTGGACCAGATAAACAGAGTTAAACGGTTAAGATGTGATGACCTGTGCTGATTTAGGACAGTGATGCTCAACCTTTGCTTGGGAAAATTAAAATTAAAATTAACAGCTGGCTGTTTTGTTTTTTCATTAAACTTGTTTTTGTGTTGGCATACGTATTCTGTCTCCATACTATCTCAGGTTCAAACTGCAGTATATTTTCATTAAATAAATTTGAGAAGTTAAGAATGTTCCTCGATTTGGGTCGCGGCTTGTCATTAAGGGGTGATGGGGGGTCCCGGAGCTAGACCAGTTGAGAACCACTGCTTTGGGATGCGTTATCCGGCCATCAGATGGAGCCGGAGGAGAGAAATGACCCGTCTGCTCTTTGCGCCTCGCGCCACAACGCGAGGAAACGTCACTCGCAACGTTGTAGTTGTAAAGCCTGTAAAGCAAAGTGAAGCGCCACTCTGCCCCCTGCTGGCTACACGGGGGAATGTACTTTATATACCAACGTAACGTATTTCATTTCATTTCATTACATTACATTACATTATTATTTCAGTTCCCGGCAAAACGGTTAATTTCATGCTCAAAATCACACATTGTTAACTAAACACTATTTGTCATAACACAAAAATACACAAAACATCACCAAAACACCCACACATATTGTCTTCCAACAGGAACATTTAGGCAATCATAGCACAATGTCATAAAAACACCAACATCAGACAGAATTACTGTACAGTATGTGTCTCAGAACATAGATCATAAATCGGAATCAGTAAAGGCATTTTGTTTCTTAATGATTGACACATCTCAGTGGTAGTAGCTTTATAGAATGTACGGTTGCTGTATTGAAAAAAGCAGACAGATAATTGCTGCAGGCTTTATTTGCAACAGGACATTACTGCACGATATGCAATATAGCTGCCATTTATATTACTGTAAGTGAAAATACTTCGTAAATGGAACCCTACGTAATCCCATCCGCCTGGTCTTCCGCATTTGGCCACACGTTCTCATCCACATCACACTTGATATCTTCACTGGCGAGGCATCTTGGGAAAAGGGGAGTGTTGGAGCCATAATGCAGGTTTTGGGGCTTTTGTTCATGTTTAGGGAAACGCCAGATGATTTGGGACGTGCAGTTCCTGCATTTGACCACAGGGCGGCTCATTGCCGTGGAAATGCATTTAAGTGGGTGCTGTGAGCACAGGTGAGGATGAGCAGCAGTCACCATGTCGACAATAGCCAGTTCCTGTCTTTCATTTACTGTGAACTGTATTGACACACAAGTGTATACGGACCAAACTGTGAATCATTTCGCATTGCTTTCAGACAGAATTCATTCAATCACCACATTTTTTAATCTGGGTCGGCTTTGAGCTAAAATTATTATTATTATACAATTAGCTTGGACTGATTTTTCTTTGATTTTCTATATTTCAAAATAATGACTGAGGAAATTGAAATTTTTCATCATTCTGATTTAAATATGCTTTTATCGGTTTTGAAAGCAGTGTGTTTTAACATATGAAAAGTATCCTGCAAATATTTTTTTTCAGTTTATGGAGTATGAATGATAAAAGGATTTTGAAAAATTGGTGATTGAATGCATTTTGTCTAAAAGTAATGTAAGCAAAATGATTCAGTTTGTTGCATGTTTAACATTCTGGACAAAAAATTTCTGACTGGCAAATATGAGGCTTATTAAAGGGTTATTAAAACTCTTATCTTATCTAGTCATACATTAGCATTTAATGTAATTTAGTACCTTACAGTACCTGTAACCCAGAACCTACACACACCAGAACCTACACACACCAGAACCTACACACACCGGAACCTACACATAAACCCAGAACCTACACATAAACCCAGAACCCACACACACCAGAACCTACACACACCCGAACCCACACACACCCGAACCCACACACACCAGAACCCACACACACCAGAACCTACACACACCATGTTACAAATGCAACTCCGTCAGTACTAAATTAGGAAGCATTGCATGTTTGTGTAACTCCTGCATGAATCTTAAATGTCTTAATAAACTCTGCAAAAGAAGTCGTCGGGCTGTAGTTGGAATCTAAGGTGCTGTCACGAGGAAAGTCCAGGACCGGACATTTAAAGTACTACTTTCTTCATAAAAAAATGAAAAAGGCCTTGGGGAGAAACACGGACGGGGAACACAAGCAAACAAACTCAGCGCCATAAACAAGACACTCAGCAGCACCGTAGGAAACTCAGTCAATGAACCGACACAGGACAAGAGACGCACGGTTTAAAGACACTGGGACGGTGCAGGTGATTGGACGCGGGAGACAATCGCCCACAGGAGAACACACCAGGGCAGGAAGTGATGCTAACCCAGGGGGCAGGACACTACTAAATGAAACAGGAAACAAACCCACACCGTGACAGCTGCATTTCCTCTGAAGTCGTCCTCTTGCTCAGTTTGCAGACGCCGCCTGTGGCGACGTCACAGTGATGCTCAACGGGGCCGCCGCCACGCCGTTCTATAATGGAAGGTGGGTGCTCTGCTCCTCCTGCCAAATAGAACTACCGTTAGCATGTCTTTCATTCTCATGAGATTGATTTTGTGGGTTATGTGTTACATGTTATGCCTGGTTTTCAAAAAATTACTGAATGACACTTGTTTTAAAATCATATGATTCTGCTCCAATTTTTTTTAAATGGGTGTAGATATGTTTTAATTATTAGATACTTTGATAAAAAAGGTCAGCAAGAAATTAAACACAATTAGATAAAGCGTGTTGTTGTGGCTGGAATGTTATGTCCCTTAATAAAGGATTTAAAAATAATAAGAAGCCAAACTTCTGAATATCAAGTCCATGAAACATGTGCAAGTCATTTTCTTTGATATCCCCTGTGTTGTTGTTGTTGTTGTCTCCCACCTTGCTGAGTAACAGCTGCTATTTTGTCCTCGCTGTCAGTGTGTTTGCGACCATCGAGGTGCCGCGGTTCCGCTCCCCCAGGGTGCGAAGCCTGAACGTCGTCCTGGTCACAAAGAAGAACTCGGTGTAAGATTTCTGCCTCCTTGTCTCCTTCGTCCTTTTGGATCTTCAATACCGAATGTGTTGAGTGCGTAAAGAATCCGAGTCATTAGTCGATCCTTAAGTCACGTTTTCTGTTCCCTCTTCAGCACAAACTGCGAGAACGAGTCTTTGAAGGACTTGCAGAGGAAGCTGGATGGAGGAATTACGTACAGCTGCAAGGCAGTGCCTGAGTACGTACAGCGTGTTTGTGTGAGAGGACGTCTCCATGTGTCCAGTGTGTGGACCCCATGTCACTCTCTCTCTCTCTCTCTCTCTCTCTCTCTGCAGGGCTCAGATCAACGACTGCATCCCAGATCCGGAGAAGGGTTGTCCAGTCTGTTGGTGAACTAAACGAAGTAATTAAAGATGAAGCGATGTGCCGTAAATTCTTTTTGTACCTGGGGCAGTTTGACTTAATGTGTAAAGGAATGTGCCACCTTTTGTGAAACATGATAATACACCTTTTCAAAATGTTTCATTAAATCTTAAGGGTAATGGGAAACAGCAGTGCTACCGTCTCCCGCACGCCTGACGAAGGAACATTTAAAATGTATTTTAACAGCTTTGGGGATCAGGTTGATTGGGGACTTTAAATTGCCCGTAGGTGAATGTGAGTGTGAATGGTTGTATGTGCCTGTGTAGCCCTGCGATTGGCTGGCGACCAATTCAGGTTGAACCCCGTCTTTCGCCCGAAGTTGGCAGGGATGGACTCCAGCCCCCCTGCAACCCTGTGTGCAGGATAAGCGGTTTGACGATGGATGGATGGATATTTTTACACAAATGGAGGTAAATTAAAGTTGGACAGAGACAGAGCTGAGCACACACACGCTGCTATGTGCTCTTTAATTTCAATGTTAGAATCAAAGCTTTGAGTCTGGTTCAAACGCTCCACCCTCTGCTCCTCCGTCACCGTCTGGTACGCTGCAGCCACGGCCGAGGACCAGAGCCGGCTGCGAATTGATAGAAATTAGTAAATTTTTGTATAGATATCATTCACGAATTAGGGTCGGCAATAAATAAACAAAGACTTATTATTGCATAGAAGGAACAGCATGACTTCTCACCCGAAAGAAAAAAAAATGATATATATATACTGTATATAATTGAACAGATGTACAAAAGGTCTAAATAATGAATTTATCGTTTTTTATTATTATTATTTTGTGACAGAAGGACACAAGAAGACTCAGTAGGTAGTTCATTTATATATTTTTATGTCAATATTTATTTAGTATTTCTTTTACCCCAATATTTATAAAGAATGCTGAATTTATTTAAGCAAATGCAAAAATATGTTTATGGGGAGATTTTTGTACTTAAGTAACACTCTAGTAATACCCTTGAACAAGAACATTATTTATACGTCTTATGTTAGGGATTTAAGCAGAAGAGCACGCATAGCGGTAGAAATTCTAATAAGTAGGATAATGATTAGTGCATTTCAGTGTCCGCTCTTTACCACATAACATTAACGGTAGTGGAAGCATCTCTACAAAAGTATGAAAAATAATAATTTACAACAACAACATATTTACAACTTTCTTGTTTATTAGAACAGTAT